AAAAAAAAATTGATTACACTCAGTATCACGATGAAAACATAATATAATAAGTACAAGAATTGTCGCCGATAAATTTTTGAGAGGACTTAACATGCCCTTTACAGAGTAATCCACTTTGTTTCCCCTTTTTTTCCGTTTAACACACGTTAACAGATGAGAAATAACTTTGGTGCTCCTATTATATAATTCAGGATGATTTATCAGATATGCTCAGCCTCATTTTTTCCTTTGGTTATGAATTTATTTAAATTCTGATTATGAAATTATTAAATATAAGTGGGTACTTAAAAACCAAATTTTTTAATTCTTAGAACTTTTTTTTAATATTCATGAAGTGTTCTGTGGTGATAATAATTTTGTTTTCTAAACGAGAACGTCATTTTTACTACATATTATTTAATGAATAGTTATTTGAACATTTTTATGTATTTAATCCAAAATTTAAACGAGTAGTTTCTTAGTCATTAAAACTTGTATACTGATTATATTCATTAATAATGATTTTATAAAAATTTAAATTAGACATAAAATTTGATCTAGTATTTATTGCTATAAGAAATTATTCACAAAAGCATGCTTACTTTGACTACTTAGATTAGATATTTTTATTTACTAAAATCATTTTTACAAATAATAAAATTTCAAGCAACTGCAGCAGCAGCAACTGTACTTCTTTTTTAGGTAGTTAGTTTAATTAGTTAAATAGACGTCTTATTAAGCAGAATATTTATAAGAAAACGATGAATTAATAAGTATTATTTATAGACTTTAATACATTGATTTGATGCATGAAGTTAATAAGGAAACACTTATTGATATATTCTATACACTTGACTTTATATGATTTTGTGAATGAAAAAATAAAAAAAACCATAAATTCAGTATCCATTTATTTACTACTTAAGATATTCACATAATTTAAAAATTAAATATTAAAATACGTTAAAATATAGTTGCTTAAATTTTTATAAAAATATTTAAATAAAATAAATGATTTTGTTATAAGAGAGTTACAAGCCTGTATATTAAATTTGTATCATTGAAAATAATTTAATATAATAAAATTGTTATTGTAGTATTTCAATTTTCAAGTAGTTTTCGATAAGAATTTATCAATAAGTAGGTACCTTAAATACGGTCTAAGTAATTATTCGGTTTTATTGTATTGATTAATTTACTAACAAATTAGTAAAAGAATAATATTTTGTGTATAAATGTGTAATTTACATCAATATTGTAATAAAAAGTTATGATGACTTTCTTTAAAAAACATTATTTTAGTGAGTGTTATAAATTTAAATTTTTATTATATACTACAGATTCTATGCCAAACAAAATATGTATTGTATATACTTCTACTTGTTGGTAATAATTAGTAAATATTATAATAACGCATTTTTGTCGACCATTTTTTTATTGTTTGATGTATAAGTACATAAGTACATAGTATTATACCTGCAGGTGACCCTTTTATAAAAGTATAATATTATACTTCGAGGTTAGTGAACTTTTTTTTAGCTCACGTACCGACATTTGATTATTTCAGAATTTTAAGACATGCCATTAAATATGTATACACATTGCAGCTAATCATAAAAAAAAATTCTCGGTGATACACAATATACACTTACTACTCACTTATACATTTTTTAAAGAAATATAATATATTTAATATTTATATATTATTAAAACCTTAATAACACCATGATATTAATTTTTATTACATCGACACATAATTATAATAAAATAAAAAACGATTTCGTACACATAACTTTCTTTTAACCTCTCTATTGAGATTTTTTTTTTTAAATTAAATATTATAATATTCTATTAGTATATTATAAATTATAACTATTGTTTGAACTAGTTGAACGTATTTTATAATTTTGAGATTTAACGGAGCAATACCGTTCTTGAAACTTTTACTTTATTCGATGTGCAGTATTGTGTCATGGCGTTTTATCAGTTTTTGATGCATTTTCAGCTAGCTGTAATATCATTATGTACATAATATAGTCTACATTATGATACTAATAATACAGAAAAATGTTTTTCCAAAACTGCACACAACTTAATAAAAACAATAAGAAGGAATATTACATTTCATTTATTCTAAACACTTTTTTTATTTTTTTTTATTTTTTTTCATTGTTACATCGGTTGCAAAGGCCATTATAGTTGCACTTATTTTCTGCGTGGTCAATAATGTAATGTATAAAATAAACATAATAAGTATAGAAAAAAGTCCACACACACATAGAATACATTTATATGGGAAAATATTATGTGTGTGTGTGTGTGTATATACAAAATCGATTTTAACTTTACAGTAAATTGGTAAATTGATATCGTGAGATTTAATTTAAGCGCAATTATCTGAAAAGCAATGGGAAATACACGCACACACACTGTACGCATACGACATACGCATATATTACGTATCAGTGTCGTGTTTTTTCATTCAACAGTTTGTTTTTAAATGTATGTTATGCATTCAAAGTGAATAATATAATAAAATTCCGAACATTCTTCACTGTTTAAATTGTATACCATTTTATATTATATTACTGTTTTCAACAAGATCTTTTTGATGAATGCCAAGACAGCAATTCATATGTGATGCATGTTGATAACAATTTGAAACTTTGCTTTGAAAATTATAACTTCTGTGTTAAAAGCTACGAATATAATAAATATAGCTTTAAGGTTTTGTGAATATTACATACATGGTAAATTTCACTTAGTATACGATTTATTAAGCACGATTACTCTCTATTATTCTTTAACAATCTCAATTTTTTTGAATATTAAAAGAATACCTAAAGTTTAAAGAACATATTATTTTCAAATAATCAGATAAATATTTTTTATATTTTCTCGTTCTCATTTTGATTATAATTGTAGAGGTAAATAGTAAGTATTATTGAATTGAAAGTTTTTAAATTATAATAATTATATTTACTTCGGTTGAACAATGAACATCTATAAATGATTTGACATTATTGCAGCTTTAATAATATTATGTTAATAGGTAGAAATATTTGATTGTTTTATTGAAATGTTAAAAATCTTCTACGTTGTATGGCCTAGAATTTTGATATGTATATGTAATAGATATATAAATTATTAACACATTTTATTTCTATATACGATCTTTATTTTGGTTTTACACAATTTTGCTTGTTATGGACACATTTTTGTAAAACTAAATTTGAACGTATAACATGGATTTACAGATAGAAAATATTTTCAATATGGCGTAATACTATACTTTCAAAGTAATTTTTTTGTTTTATCATTTTCATTTTATCGCATTCTTGGGTATTTGATGGAAACGTCATACCTACAGAATTTTGACTCTGCCATTTAAATCGTTTTTAGATCACGATAATTTATATAGTTATTTATGTCTTATGGAATCTATAAATTGTCACTTTTAACGATAATAATGCATACACCATGGCCCTTACTTGGGTTTAGTTTATCTTCTCCACCATTTTTTTCTAACGCATTATTATTGTACATTTGTATCGTTGTGCTCGAGAAACAATTAATGAGAAAATAATTATATGCTATCAATATACTTAAAATCACTCTCATAATTTATGGTTATTGTATATTTTATGTTAAATCATTTTAACTTTTTGATAATATTAGTAATAAAAAAAAATAATTTACATACTTACGTAATACATTGTTGATTATTATACTTATTAGTTATTACGATTTTTAGCAATTGTATTTCTATTAAAGTATACCTACATTATATTATTTGATAATTGTATTATTGGAATGTTAAATATTTTTCAATTGAGTTTATGATTTATTTCATCTGATTTTAGTATTGTATTTTATTAAAATATTAATATGATGATAGTATTAATGTAAGTAATAACACTATTTAATTAATATTAAATAATTGAAATAAAAATATCAATTTTATTTTTTTTTGTAAACTGCAACAAATTGTATATTATATATTTATATAAGTATTTTTATACAAACATTTTTTCTCTTAAAATTATTACAATAATAACACGCAATGCAACTATTCATAGAATAAATTGATGGATAACAGCGTTTAATTATTTCTTCTTGTTTCAAAAAAAAAAAAAAAAAGACAGTAAAATAAAATAGAAAACAATTTTTTTTTTATATTAATAAAATTAACAATTGACATTTTATTTATTATACATAATATTACATATTTCATATTATTTTTGCGATCATATTCAACATAACAAAAATATTATCGTAAGTGTATGTAGTGTGAGTATGTGTATGACTGTGATGGGGTTGCGTTGTGGCGGTGTTTTTGATTTCGAAGCCGTTTAGACGTCTTTCGGTGAATTATACATATTTTATTTACTGCTAACATAGTTTATTAAATAGGTATTAAAAATGACCTCTTATAATACCTCTTAAGCTAATTGATCGACATTTAATAGTATCGACATATATATACCGCGCGTATATAATATATTAATTTAATATGTACGTGTTAAGAGATAAAAATATTTAATATTTAAGTTTTTTTAAAATTATTCATACATATAGGTAATTATATTTATTAGAATATATATGGAGAGTATATTATAATATAGATAAAAAAAAAAAAACAAACGAAAACCGATAATTAACGATAATCGTCGTTTTATTTATTTTGCTTAAAATTTAACATAATATACGATTCTACTTATTAAGATATAACCGGACGGCAGACCGTTATTTTTTCTATTAGGCTATTTGTTTACGAATTTTTCGAATCGATGTTGGCGTTTGTATTTTTTTTTAAAGCCTTTTATCGATTTTATTTTTTAAATATTTATATTAAATTCGTAAAAAAATGCAAACGTGTCTGCTGCCAGTTTTTGGTAACATTCGAACCACCAGCGAGCCTCGTCAGAGGATTTCTCTTAGTTATAATATTCTAATTTTATATAATCCAACATTATTATTACTATTATTATTAAATTTAAAATGATTTTTTTTTTAATTTGATTTTTTAAAATTTAATTTAAAAAAATTCTATTCTTTGTCTAATTATATTATGAATTTGTGTGTTTACAAAAATTACACGCTTAATGTTAAAACACCGAAAACTACTGGGACACGTCTGAACGGCGAGTGAAACTAAACCACCGCCATCACGGAGCCGTGGTGATTGCTGAGACGGTGATGGCGCGGCGGTAAGTTAATTCAATGCAGTTGTCAATGAATGCCTTCCAACGGCGAGTAGGACTTGTATTGGTACAAGTCCGGTCCGCCGTAACCGTACAAAAGTCGGCCGCGGCCATGTTCATCATAGTACGGATATCTATACTTGGGTCTGAAAAATCAGAAACACACACAATTATTAATACAATGATGTTATTAAGTCATAATGTTTTTTGTATTATAGTTTATTATATTCGTTTGTATATATTTATGCGCAGTTTCAGGAATGTACAGCAGTGCTGTGTTTGTAGAGGATTTTCATAAATTCGCCCAGTGACAAGACATGCATGAGGGGTTGTGAGGATGTAACGCCTCTTACCCACTCTGCACCGATATAAAGCTCAATGCATTCGCACCGATATTATCGAATTCTGATATCGGTGTAAGAGTTGTATTTAGGTACTTTTCGCATGATCCGATTACTTCTTAAATGTGAAATTAAAGTTATGTATTGTCAATAGACTATCTGTCAGCAGTTGGCACTCGAAATATTTGTTTGATGTTTAAAAATTTGGCATTTCAAAATCTAGTCACTAATTTTAAATATTACACCACCTAATTTTTCAAAACATTTCTTTAAATCGTGTCTGTTGTCACTCCTTTTCATTCACGATTGGAAATTTGGACGATCATTGTCAGCTCACTTTTTATATTCTCGAAAGTCAAAAGTAAAGAAAAATGAGTATTAGGGATTAGGAGGTTATTGAATGCTTATTTTATTAAGCTGAACTAAGGAGTCCAATGATGTAAAAATGCCGTATTTTATTTTTCATTTGTATAATACGTGTATGTGTACAATATTTTACAAAAATGGTATTATGTTTAATGTTTACATAATTTTTAAGTTTATAGATAGTAACTACCTATTTAAATATTGTAAGATCAAAAAAATTTCAGTTTATTGATGAATAAACTATAAACACTATAAATATTTAAATATTTAAATGTCTGTTAGGTAATAATAAAAACACAAAAGTTTTGTTTTTAAATTTTGAACATTAGGTTTTTGATTTGAATAGTTATTATGTATAGTTATTTTATTTGCTAGTGTTTAATGTGACTACTCAAATCACAAGACTAAACCCTAAACACAATAGTTCTAATTAATATACATTTAAAAAAAAAAAAAAAAGAATTTATCTTTGCTTTATCAGCAAACCATTTATGACTTTTTTTTATACATAATATATATCATTCGTATTTCATTTTTTTTATGCATGACATAGATTACATGTGTATTATATAATTTATATCACAGGCGGAAAAAACGAGAAGACGCGTTGTATAGATACACAGGTACACAGTTTTGCGATATTTTTTATTCACTTTTATTCATAATCATAATGTATTATTGTGTTGTCCACGGGGGTATCTGCTGCAGATGCAGTTGCACATACGTACCTTTCGAAGTATTGAAAGTTCGGTGCTCTGGGTGTCAATGTCGCTCCGACTACGGAAACGACTAACGCTACCGACGCGAGCGCCAGCAAAATCTAAAAAAAAAAGTAACATTGTTATCATATATTATAATGTTCATCGCAATATTATTTATTTTAACAACAATATGTGCACGCCCGTGTAATACGGTGCGTAAAATCATCAAATAGAGGCGTTTGTAAATAACACACGATAGATTATATATACGTATTAATGTATCATTAATTATTGTATTAAGATAATATATGTGATGCAGGTCGTCTTGAAAGAGTTCATACAGTCGTCACCATTCATTTGGCTCGTTGTGCCGGGTCAATTATTAATACAACGCGCAAGTTACAATAGCTGTTTAGCCTGTAGTTTATAATATATTATATATTGGTCGAACTCGTAAACAGAAAAAAAACATTCATAAGTAAAAAAATAAAAACATTTTATCGTTAATAAATAGAATGTTTTAGATTTATTGTATATATAATGCTATTATAAAATTGTTGGTCATAGATCATTATAAAAATCATTTTGAGACATTTATTTTTTGTAAGCGTTATGAGGACGGGAGTGTATGAACATATATATATATATATATATGACATGCGTGTTTAATTATAGTGATGTGTATATTTATGTACATTACGCGTGTTTATAATTTTAAACGTTATATCATCGCAATTGTATTTTGTATAGATTGCCATTATGTACATCATTACGGTGGTAGTTAGCTGACACATAATCCGATATTTTAAGTACTTTGCAATGCGTGGTTTGATTATATAATAAAGAATAATATGTGACTACATCAATGGTTAAGATTTGAATTACCACATACACCACAACAGCCTTTAAATACCTACTTTATTTAACACACATCTTTATAACTGTGAAACGCACAAATCGCTAAAATTTGATTATTTTCACTCTCGAGTTTGGTATAGGTAATTAATAATAATGATAACATTAATATAAATACCTACTATATTATAATACAATAATAATTATTACTATAGATTATGGTTTTGAATACTTGATTGCTTGTTTACGGACATTTATAACGTTTTACACTAATTGTACATCATGATAAGTAAACATTAAGCGATCAGAAGGATATTAAATTAAGATTTTATAATATTATGTAATCGTCAATCAATAATAAGAGTGAAAAGTTGTCCACTTGTCGAAAATAAAAATCTAAACGCTGTATTCGAAATATTATTAGATATTTTAATAATCTGTTTTTCTTATTAATTATTCGCTCTTTCGACCAGTATTTGCGTGCAGTTCTTTTTGCATTTAACATAACATCACAATTCGTTATTGTCAACTGCGACTAAAAACTCGTTAATGATTATAGTTCTCGTCGCATATATAAATAAAGTATTAGAATGGTGCGAATGACAGTTCATAAAACGGCACCCGTTCAAACCGAATAAATATGCACACTTGAACGGACGGACAGCTGGCCCGTGACCTGTATAATATACGACACCCATTTCGTATATTTTAATATTTTCTCGGTGTACTCAGAGTACTATACAGAGTACCTATGTCTTGCCAATCATAATTTTTCTTACGACTATAATATACACTCAGTGATAGGGCCACGTGTGTACTTACTGTTGTATGTTTTCTGCGTCGTATTTATACATTTTTGCAGATGGCCGAACTGTTTATAGATTTATAATACACTCAAAGTTCTCGAAAAATATGTAAAATTCGCGTTGTTTGTTCTCATCGATCGGATGTACGGGGATCCGTATAGGCTATCGTGTCATTAACCATATAATCATAAATTAGTGATATGTTTGGTATACACATAAATATATAATAATGTAGTTTTGTGTTTGAAACTTAAAATCGTTTAAAACCATGCGACTTTGTGCATTGACTATTGCACATATATTATACAATATACTGAATATATACGTACTATTAATAATCGAAAGAAATTATAATAACACAAGTTGCTCTAGGATAGTCATGTGCCCTGAGATTAGGTTGAAATCTTAAATCATTGTTAGTATTGCTTTGTTATTTTTAATCGATCGACGCGCGACGTTTGATGCTGAAATATAATTTGTAAAAATAAAAGAAATAAAAATCGGTGGTAAAGGAGTTATCTACAATAGAATGGAGTGAGAATAAGACAAATTATAGCTAAACGACGGTAGTTAAAGAAAATAATATTATCTTTATTATTTTATAGGAAAGAATTATAAATGGCGAACCGAGAAAAGAAAGAAAAAATAATTAACAAATCAATTGTAAATTTCACCGACTCTCTATAGACTTCGAGCGATAATATCTTATCATGTATATGTTTATGTATTAAAATTCTATTTAAATGTACATAATGGAGCGGTCGCTGGCTACCAGAGAAAGTGAAATTAACAGTAACAATTTGGTATTTCTTATCACACGTTTCAGCCATAATCGTCGTATGTCTAAACGTGCCGTTTTCGGTCAGAACAAATATTTAAGGATTTTATTATATACACGTAAAATCAGTCACCTAATTGTTACAAAAATAAATAAATTGCCTAGTATTTTTTACTATATTATATATAAGATGGTTCACTAAACATACTCACCCCTCCCTTTTTTCTCAATGATACAGTGAAGTTATTGAACATTTAATTTTAGAAATTTTTAAAAATTTTAAAGACTATATTTCGGAATTCTTTTACTATTTAAAGTATGTCAAGTGGAGACACAAACTTCTGTTTTTCAATTGACAATGTCGGGTTTTTAATATAAATTATTTTGTGTATAATTCTTTTAAAAATTAGTGGTATGTAGTAGAATAATACTGGGGATACCTAGTAAAATGTTGGTTTACTATTTCGTTCAGATTTGTTTTTTAAAAACTTACAATCTCTAAAATACTCGTCAAAATTTCAATTTTTATTTACCAAAATACTCCGAAAAATATTCTACTTCAGAATATTAAATTAAAAATGTATATTGTATTTCAAAAAAGTAAGAAACTTAAAATTATAACGATAAAAAATATAATCCAAAAAAAAAATTGTTTTATTTTGACTGGAAAATGTGTAAAATACTACGAGTATTTTCAACAAAGTTAATAGATTTTGAAAAAATGAGTATTCTTTGATAAAAAAAAAAAATTATTCGGTACATTAAGTTATCACATAATATACTCGTATATTATTTATATTCGAACATCACCGCGTTCCACTTATGACTGCTCCGTAGTAATAGTGACTGTAGTGGCTATTATCAATTATATACTTATAAAATATAATATTTTATTTACGCCATAATAATGATGAACACAGTTTGGAAAATTGAGTATTTGAGACGAAAAATAATCCAAATTGTGTAAGTATACTATGTATGATATATATCTATAAGTTAATAAACAGTTTAAGAATTTAAAATAAAAAATCAATAGTACGAGTATCTATTATATTATATTTGTTTAAAACATCTATTTATTATGTTTATTAGGTGTAAAATACATCTTTAAAATCTATACATGATTGTGCTCATACTCTATAGCATTTTGGTTTTATTTGAAAAAAAATATATATTTTTTTTTGTTTAAATATGTTCACAACAATTTATTTGCGAGTTATTCATGTGTATTTTTTATTTACGTTGCAAGAGTCCTAAGTTCTAATAATCCGACTATCTATCATTTAAAGACAAAAAAAAAATTGAACAGGTATAATACGTATACACTTCCTTGTTCCTCTCTGACTCCCACCAATACAAACATTGATAAATGATTATATTTGTATTATAACGTACAGCCCGTGTAACAATTGTGCAGCATTGTTTTTTTAAAACAGAATGTAATGTATATAAAATTACATTTAAAGACTGACCAAATACTGTACAGATAGAATCAACATATATATATGTATTATTTCGTTTCCTGTGTTTGCGTACAATCTAATAGTATTATCGCAATAGGTATATACGACGTACTTGTTTATTACAATATATGATATTATAATAAAATATGTTACGATATAATACAATTTCACTTGTAAAGTATTTTTGTTTTTATATAGAAATGCATGACAAACGGTGTTTTAAAAAATGAAAATCTAATTATGATAAATATACTTGTATTATTAAACCTGGTTGACAAATTTGCTAAAACGCAGCGATTTCACGAGGTTGATAATAATAGTATCAGAATATTTTATAAATAGGGAATTTTTTCATCACGAAGCAATTAATTAGCAACAGGTCGCGTATCACGAATATATGACCCGCCCACGCTTGCGTGTTTAGAGTATATACGGAGAAAACGTTACCTACATTACCTGTCCTCGCGACTCTTGACGAAATGTTCTTACCGCAATATTGTGTACGGTTGTATTGCCATAACATAAGTAGGTAATAACAATTTTTATACCATAACTTGTGAAGCACGTATCTAGCATGAATGTTATTCACAAATCAGTTGATTTTTAAAAAAACAAACAATTCTAAAAATACGCAACTAATTTTGTTTAAATGAATATTCATTGTCATTTAAGTATAGATTTGTTATTATTTTTTTTGAAAACTTACTAATTCGTACATTGACACGTATGATGGTTTCACATTTTAACAGTGGATACAAATTATGCCGATGTATGCATGTACATTTATTTTGTAGAAATATTGATAATATATTATTTTCCATATTATACCTAAATAGAACCTATACATTCAAAATAGTGTTAACTATTTACCGGTTGTGTAAATACGACCGTATAGATTCCACATTGTCTATTGAATAAACCTATAAAAGCTAGCAATTAATGCTGCACCACGCTTAAACTATTTACGTAAGTACCGAGTAGCTATACAAACCGAGTGAATGTATATTGTATACAATTGAAGAAGAATGTTTTCAAACTAGCGACGAATGAAAACATCAATGGCATTAATAAATATAGCGTTCGAAAATCGATTACAATTATATATAAGCGCAGTGAACATGCCAAATGATTATTTCAAAAAGTTTTTATCGATTTTCAAAAATATAATAAATAATATGTATTTTATGAATATTCCGAATCTAAGAATTTTTTTATATCTAAAAATCGAATTTCGAATGAGTAGTCAATTAGTTATAAGTGTATTGGAAGTTTTTATTAACAGTATGGATAACACAGATGTATCATACTAAACGTTTGTCCTTGTTAGTATGCTTATCTAAACTTTTAATACTTAAGTTATAACTAATTAACTGCTATCGATCTTTAAAAATTAAATTTTAATGTATAAAAATTCCCAGAAAAAATATTTGCTAAAGATTATGATATTAATATAATGATTATAATGTATGTTGTAAATTGTCATTCGAAAAAAAGTAAAAATTTAAACTATGATAACGTTAGAAATTATGTTTTGTATAATGGCTTTGAACTACGTGTACAATATATTTCTCAAAAATAGTCAACATTTTTAAATTAATGAGCTTTCATAATTAAAAGGATTAATGACTCAGTATATAAACTTAATCGGCTATAAAATCCGGAAAACTAGAATTTATTTATTCTGCGGATGACGAATAAATAATATGACTGTAAACTACTTACACTAAAAACACATAACATATTAAATAATACAATTTTATTGGTACGTGTTGCAATAATACGCATTATAATACATTTACAGTGTGTGCAAATTATAATAATATTGCTTTTGCGATTTCATTAATATACACTTTGAGTAAGGACAATGTAATTAATTACTATGATATGAAAATCATCGAAACAGAAATACGTATATAGGTACATAATATTTATAAACGTTATAAAACATTCAAATACGTGTTGAAAAACAAATATAATAGTGTACATAGACATGCGTCGAAAGTTTTATCCATCATTTGCGTTTAATTTAAAATTATTATATAATTTAAGTCATTTTACACATTCTATCGTTTTCTTTACCACATCATTGATTAATTTGATTTATTATACTTATAGGCTATAATAATTAAAAACGTTAAGTGTATACATTTTATACAAATCAAATACGTTTAACGGGAACTTATTTTATACTTAAAAATTATAGTGGTTGTTGTAAATATTTATATTTAAAAATGTATGTTCATATGATTTATTTTATCTTTAATACAATACATCGATAAGTGACCTCTTTTTACAGGTCAGGTCGATTTTTCCGTAAACCGTGTTACGAAAGAAAAAGTAGAACGCGGCCCTTACATTTGGTGCAGACGGTTAAAATTATATATATTTTCAAATCGATAATAATAATTGTATAATAATATATCATGATGTAATGTATAAGTTTGCAATTGGACGGTGATTTAATTAAAACGGAAAAATTTTTAGAGTGAGCACTCGGTGGACTTTACACATACGAGTACAATAGTACATGGATTATATCACTTCGTATCAGCATATATGCATTATCATACATTATGTGATTGCATTCGAATACTAGCCGGTTTGTCGTCGAACTGGTAAAAAAAAATATATAGGTAGGTACGCATTACAAATCCGCATTTGATACTTGAAAACATATACCTATAGTCTCGCATCGTTATAATTACGATCAATTATTTCGCGAGCGTTTCCAGATCGTATTTCCGAAAACTATTATTCAGCGTGTACTTAAAATAATATTATGTTTACCTAGGTACTCAGTAGGTATAAAGTTTCGTCGTATAGTGTAAAAACTACAAAATTGGACCACGTATGAGGTCGTGTTTACGAACTGTCAAGTATACTATTGTATTAAATCTATTATATATAATACATATATAGTTGCAACACATGAGCTCGAGATTATCGATAGCGCAGAAACGGAAAGACAAAAGTAAAACAAATCGAACACAATCGGACACTCACCATCCGCCCTGTGCGCGCGATTATTTGACCTACTTATTTTGCGACGAGCGTCGAGTTCATATTATCATATGTATCCTTTCCCGCGGCGGCGCGACGGTTACTTACGAAGGGACCGCCGTCGACGACCTTGACGGACGACCCGCTCCTCCGCGATGACCTACAAACGGACGCGAAAACTTTGGACGGAAAAAAAGGTACTTAAACCGTCGGGAAACAAAAAAAAAAAATTATCCTAAAAATTAATCAGAACACGCACGGTGTTTCGTGGGCGGTAAACATAATATAAACGTATACATAAATCACACTAAAAAAAAAAAAAAAAAACAAAGACTTACTGTCGTGTGCTGTGGCGGCGGCGAGACGTCTCACGTAATCATTGTTGCGAAATATTTTTTTCGCGCGCTCCGCGGGATCGCCCGGGAACGATCGGGCGACTTGACAGGCCGGCGTCAAGTCGCTCACTCGGTGGCAGCAGCGACGGCGGCGGCCGCGAGTCCGTAACAAAAGTAGGTCACCCGCCGCCGCCGCAGCCGCGCAGAACATGCACACGCGCGCTATCGCGACGTCCTACCGACACACACACACACACACACACACTCACACATTGACAATGTGCAGCGCTTTTATAGCAGTGGCGGCGGCGGCAGCCGATCACTTTCACTGAGTCGCCGCCCGTGTGACGTGTTTTTTTATACCATAATAATAATAATAATAATAATAATAATAATAATAATACAATATATTTTATATAAAAAATAAGTGTGCTTATTATGCCGCATGCATCGATTGTACCCACGATATTGTGTATAATTTTCTAGGCACAACAACAATAATAATAATAATAATAATAATAATAATAGTAATAGTAATAATGACGGCGGAAAAAGCTCGCGTCAAGTCTGCTTGGAAATACGCCCGGAACGAAAACGAGAAAAGAAAAAGTGGTGAAGTTTGCACCCACCACCGCCGACGCATATTGCGGGGGGTCGCAACTTGTCGGGTCTGTCCCTCGCAGGGGAGGAGTCGAGCGCGTTATCATTATATATAGTATTACCGTTTCACGCAACAGGTTATATTATATTGTTATTATGTTATTATTGTCATAAATTTAGGACGCGCGGGATCGAACTGACCGAACGAAAAAAAATGTACGCGCACTTACACGTCTTCATACCTTAGGATACGACACATCCCAACGGAACGGAATCCAATCGAATTAATTACATCGAACAATATAGGATTTCGAAACGTATGTTGAACACACAATGTCGATAAAGTTTGTGTTTTTAATATATTTGAACCTTCTGTTATTATTTGCCGAGTACCGTACCGGTACATACTCTTTATACGAAAATATTGTTTATTGCATTAAATGTTTGTATAAAAACTACTCTAAAATACACTAAGAATATTGTTACAACATAACAATTTGTGACTAAAAACTAAAACGTTCAACTTAAGCCCTAATTTTGGTTATGTAATTCCGCATCATTTCCAATAAGACTAGGATAAAATTCTTTTCGATCATTGTTCTCGAGCCGTAGTGTGCGAATACGATGAGGATAACCATATATATATATATGTACACACGATAGCGTCACGATTCAACGTTTTTCGTGAACCGCCACAAAGTTAGATTGATCGGCAATCTCGTATACAATATGTGGTTTTAGTGGTTTTATAATAGCCAAAATCGATATCTATAGGGTTCGGTCAACCGTTCGCGTGATAATCTTTTGAGCTTATTTCTTACAGAGAAATACTTATGGACCTTCAAAAACTTGCGGCGTAGAAGTGCTGAACACATAGTATAATACGATAATATATTACTATGATAGATGTGTACCTGGTAAGACTTCGTAACTATGCGGAGGTACACCTGGCCAGGTTTTAAAGGGACTGACGGTGGCAAAAACAAAAGGAATACGACTTTGAGGATTGTTTTGAAATTGCGTATATGTACAGACGTATATAGACAGTCACGTAAATCGATTGCCAGAAACCTATAAAATATATCATACGTACGTCCTATCACAATTCGTTTTAAAAGCCGCAAATGCGGGACGTGATCATTTTTCGGTTCTCGAAACGGTCGCAGCCCTCACATACGTCCGTTCGCAGCATAACGTACGTGTGCACTATATCATAAAAATATAGGTACAAAAATATATACCACACAAGTGACCACGTACAACCTTTATACATAAGTAATAAAATCGGCGCGCACGCGCGCGCGATTTCCATCGCATCTCAGACCTAACGGTGCGGCGTCTCGCGGAGAGCGTGTTCGTTTAACGTAATGTAATGTTTGGGTACTTACCAATCGGTTCAGAGACGGCATGTCGGGAATCGGCTTGCTGGCATGATCGCTGTCCGATGGCTACTGAACTGCCGTCGCGGCAGTCGGTTCCGCGAGCGCGCGTGCGGGGGACGCCCGGAGACGTGTGAAAGTGACTTTCACTCGGTCTCGGCTGTCCGGTTCGAGGGCATCCGAAATGGTTGTTTCCGAAACTGCGGCCATATACCCAACGTACACAGAATAACGACATGTAATAAGTATAGCGCATCGGGTAATGCGCTATGGCTATGCGTTTGTATACCCATCAACGTAGATGACGTAGTTGGGTAAACGCGCGTGGGTATGTAAGATATACTGTTTTACATTACGGGTGATTCACCCGCGGTATCTGGTCGGCGATTCTTGTTTTTGGCCTCCTCGCAATCCCCGCCCAAAGTCGTCCGAGATCGTTCGCCCATTATCTGTGTGCACTCCGGCCACGTGTCCACGTATTATTGTGATCTGTCGGTGCGAGGCGATGTGTTAGACGATATAATATATAGGTAGGCATATTTAATTTACGAACAAAACTAAAAAAAAACCCGGGAAAATTGTTATCTCTTAAAAAAAAAAAAATTACATTTTTTATCTCGAGAATAGTTTCTCGTATTTTTATGTCGTTGCGCTATCAGCTAATAATAAAATTGATATGATGTTATTTTAAAAACGTTTAAATCGTGATATTATATTATTACATTATCATATTGTAGCGGTTGATATATTATATACTTTCTTCTTGTTCGGAAACGTAGCGGACGATATTGTGCTGTAGAATTATTCGAAACGAATCGTTCGATGTTTTTTATCTGGCTTCCCTTCTTCCCCATCATCGACCATAGAGTAGCTAAAAATTAATGAAATCAATTTTGATTACAACGGATATACCTACGTAGACTATGGATTTGAGTCCGACAGAAATAGTTATTCGTGTTCCCTGCAATGGATATCATGTAAAACATTTATAGATGCCGTTAGATAAATTTGAAATATTATTTTTTTATTTAATGTATTATATTAATATAGACCCGAAAACTAAGAATACACGAGTATTTGAAATCAGACGATTAATGTTGAATAACCCTGTTGTATTGTTTACCGTAGTGGTAGATATTAAATTAGATTACAATTATATTTATGTTCGCACGCGCTGAGGTATGGCGCGGAGAAAGTGCCATTTTGCGACATTGAGAGTAAAAGTGAAACGGTACATAACGGATTGGTTTATACCGTTAGATTTTGTTTAATAATAATAATAATAATAATAATAATATTACGCACGAATGGACTGTGCGGGCTCGAGTTTTCTATTTCGGCGGGAGACATGCAACTGGTGTTTCACACCACCCCTTCCCGCAAAAAAAACTTGTTTAAAATATAAAAACAAAATAAAACGGTATTCCGAGGGAAATCGTTATAGTTATTATTGTGCGGGGCGATTAAGAGTGAATATTATACTATATATACGGGAGTCGTGCTCATTATTTTTTATGCGCGAAATAATTTACACGGCATGGCTTTGAAACTATTCGGGACGATATTTAAATCGTGTAACGTCTTCTGTGTTGACATTTTTTTTTTTTTTTGTATTGCAAGTTTTGTTACATTCTTTTTTATATCCGCACAATTATTATTTTATAAGACATAATTATCATTTATTCACTTTCTAAGTGCGTTCAGTTCTCGTTCTAAAGGTACGGGACATCGGCCCATATATTATTACAGTAAATATTGTATGACCGTATGCAATGCGCACGTCAACCATTTATTATAATATACTATCATTGATCTCAGATAATAATTAAGATATAACTATGTGTTTATGACATTGTTTTTATCTAGACAGCAGATATATGATGCGTTTATATTTATTTCCTCGATCGTTTGGCCGTTAATTTATTTAAAAATTCTTAAAGCAACTGACTTTAGTTTAAAAATAACTCGATTTGTGTCTAATATCTATTACATATTATATTTATATCTCATCTTAATATCTCCTGATAACTTTCTAACGTTGTGTTATGTGATTCCTTAATTCCGTTAATGTCATATAAACTATATTTTTATGAAAGTGGTCGGTTGTTTTTAAATTATAACAATAAAACTATTATTTATTAAAGGTAAACATTAATAATATAAAATCATTTGTACATTTATATTCATAAAATAGGTTATTTATCAGTCTAAAATATTATGTGTGTATGCGTATTTGAGTATAATTAACAAAAATTACTTTCAAATAGTTTCAATTGCGTATGTAATTTGCATGTATACATAAATTGATGTTGCCAATATGTAGGCACTAGGTACCAGGTACCTACAATTATAGTACAATATTTTTGTATCATACTTTCAGAAGGCTGAGACGTGGTCACAACTATGTGTAAGCTTAAATAAAATAAATGAAATATACATATATTTAAAAATATTTATTATTGGTAATCTACATTATACCATTTTACTATAATGCAATCCACCAAAGAAAAAAGTTGAGGTATCACCATACTACATTAATCGTATATAAATTAAACGAACGTTATTCTTGGACTATAGCTTACACACATTTGGATTTTAAACTCGTTCAAAACTTTAAATTTCAAAACTTTCTAAAATAACTTACGGTTTTAATTATTTCTAAAAAAAAATACAAAACCAATTACCTATTTTGAATGTATAAAACTAAATTTATTAAGTTGCATTATTGATTCAACTTTAGAACACTTAATTGTTTTTGAATAAGTTTATTCGTTATTTGTTTTAAATAAATTTATTACAAAATACTATAACTAAAATACTAAATTAAGCTACAGGCTCATATTCAATAAAAATGGGTATTTTAAAACTTTCTACCTACCTATTTAATTTTATAAAACGTGTAAAATCTCTTATGTCTAAAGTTTAATTAATTTAATGTTTGGACTTTTTTTTAAGTTTCGATTCAAATTATTTAAATTCATTTTTAATAATTTATAATAATATTTTTGATAAGCAAAAACGTTTTAGTAATGTATAATTATAAATAAAAATAATTATGATTTAAATATACTTAAACAAATGTAAATGATCTTTTGTTTTTATTAAAAAAATTAAATATGAAATTGGTTATTTAAATTAGATAAAATAGCTAATAAGTGCAATGTGCATGTATAATATATATACATGATGATTGTATATATTTTTAGAATGTACATATTTACCTTTTGAATATTTGATTAAATATAATATATATATATATATTATCATATGCCTATAAAAATCTCATTTAAAAAAATAGTTTTAAAATTCTAAACAATGATCACAAGACACAAACTAATAATGATTTATAATTGAAAAATAAAATTTTATAATCATATATTTCAATATTTATATATTATTTTGGAGTTTTCTTCAAACATTCTTTTTAGTTATTTAATTTATGATATTGTTTGATAATTAATATAATACGATATAGAATATTTAGACGATAAAGTTTAGATAAAATATATTTGATAATTTATTTGATTCATATATTAAATACGTTTAAATTAAAATTGCAATAATTATTTTATTATTTAATCGTACTTTAATGGATATTTCAAGGCACATAATATACGCATATACAATGTACTGCAATATATTAATGTAGTTATGTATGAGTATATGCGCATATAATATAAATTATAGTAAAGATACACCCGGATATTGGTATTAAAAGAATACTTTCTCGATTTTCGAACCAAAATTAGTGTTTGATGGTATAATGTAGAAATTTAGGTCGATTCAAAATCACAAAACATACTATAACTCTCTATAATTAAAATTGAAATATTATAATTAGTGTATTCAAATCAAATATAATTTAGTATATTAAATAAGTATACTGGTTCACACTTTTATTGATATTTTATACAGGAAAATTATTAAAAATTAAGATTTAACTTCAAAACATTTTTTGTTCATTTATAAATAATATGCATTTTAAAAATACAATTATTTCATGATTTCATACAACTTTAAATGAGTTTTGTGTATAAGAAAATCACTCTGTATATTATAAATATTATACATCAGAAATTGACTCTTAATAATTATAAATACAACTTAATGCATATTTACAGCTATAAATGTAGATAAATGTATATTATTAGAGTAGGATAATTATTTTTTGTCATAAGTAATAACTAATAAGTAATAAAATAAAACATATTGTTTGTTAAACATACATTTCTCTTATTATGATAATACAAACATTTTAATACAGAGAAAGTTTAATGGCTGTGTAGTTATCTATAAAAAAAATATAATAAATTATATTTTATGTGCTTTCGTTGTAAACGTAATATTTACTACATATTTTATTATACAGTACATAATGTAATATAATATTTATTTAGTTTGTGATCACATTGAGATATTTTAATTTTTTTTTACAGATACAAAACTAAATATATTGACTACAGTAATTATCTGTGATAAAAATTAGAAATATAAAACACACTACCATACGAATAGCTCAATTTGTTGTATACTCGTACTTATTACAGCGAAAATGTTGAGTATAATATAATCAACATTCATATACGTATGCGTATAATACACGCATATATTATTGCTAACATACATAAATCTTAAAATATATGTAACAATGTAAATATAAATTATGCCATGTACGTACATGTACCTATATAATAAACTGTGTGAACTTAATCTATACTGATTGTTAATGGGTAATTTTCAGAAAATAATATCAGGCATTTTTTTTTTTTTTTTGCAACAGCGTGATTTATCAATCATTTTTTATGATTGCAATAATTATGTTTTTAAAATCTCCCAATATAATAAATATTTTTGCTTTTTAGTAAACATATCTTTAGGTATAGAACACTATAGTACAATGAATTTTGCAAACTTTGCGTTTTTATATTACTAAGATCAGTTTTTTTTTCGAATGAGCATGTTGATACCGAGTTCTTATAGTTAATCAAAAACCCACTGTGTTTGTTGCTGATATATATATTAATATTACTGATATTAATTACCGCACATTAAGGAGAGGGAAATTAGGTTTGTATCCCTTTTACGAATAAAGTTATCGCAAAATATTGTTGTCAAGA